GTGAGTGTCTACATGAGGAAGTTGAGGTAAAGACATAGTATAGATGAGACGAGAATGAGAAGTACCGTGTTATATTGTAATCCATGAGCTAAATGCTGTGCTCCAAGGGTGCCGACTTCATTAACTCCGAGAATTAGTGTGGTGAGTGTCTAGATGAAAAAGAGCAGGTAAGAATATGGTATACGCAAACAGAGAAAGACATGTACTGTATTGTGTTGTAATGCATGAGTCAAATGTTGTACTTCAACATCTCCGATTTCATTATTAAGGAGATGTAGTGTAGTGAGTATCTAAAGGAAAATGCGACTGTTAAAACATGGCATAGTTAAACAGAGAAAGATAAGTACTGTATTGTATTGTAAGGCATCAGCCAAATGTTGTGCTTCAACACTTCCGATTTGTTTACCTCCGATATATAGTGTGGTGAGTGTCTAGATGAAAATTTGAAATTCTTCGAGAAATATTTCTTTAGATGAAATCGGTTTCGAAGCAATTATTTGGGAGAAAAAATTGCTTTAAAAGTAGTACTCCTTGGAGAAATATGTTCTACTTTAATGGTATAAGAATGTGGATTAATCTTCGCTTCATCTACATACACCGTATAGCGATTGTTAGAGACATCTTTCAAGGAAATATCTACCACGTTATGTACAACAAAATAAACTGTAGTTTAAAAACTGCTAATTCCTTTCGAAACTTGATTTTTATTATCGAATTGATATTTTAAAAAAAGTATTTGCATGCGAATAAAAAGCAAATAACAATATTTTGTTTCTTTTCTTTGCGTTCTTATTCGAATATTGTATGTTTATAACGTCATACCTAGTTTGAAACGTGGAACATGTAGATGAAATTGAATAAAAATAAAAAAACGGAAATTATTTTCATATTATTATAATAAAAAAAATGAATTTTTAGGGAGAGATTGGTAACTGATAACTTTGCTCAAGTGACACATAGGTGACTCATTTATATTCTATTGAAGCTAGTCTAGTTGCATAGAGATTGTCATGATACAAAAAAATTTTACCTGATATCGATAATAACTGTCTAAGATGGTGTTGAATCGTTGACATACATTTCTCATTGAGCATATAATTGTCATATCCGATTGATGATCAAGAATTCGATACACAAGTTCTACTGGTAATGTAAGGAACGTGAGGACAGTTTGATTTGCCATTATAGATTGTTGATGAAATGTGTGCTATATAGCCTTATATATTGCCCTCTATCGTATCATCAGGTTAGTGTATATTTGTTTTGTGTCGTAGATTTCATATGATGTTGCAATTACTTGTTGGAAGAAAAAAAAAGAAAAAGAATGACAGAACCGATATAACAACTGTGCAGAACCTTTTCATTAGGATTGTTTTAACGATTCAAAATGGTATATATATATATATGTCTATCGGAAATCTTTTTTATCGAGAAAACGACAATGAACACGTACATATAGCGTATCGAGATCTAGGAAAACATTCGTCATCTTGAAAATAGAGAAACTCATATCTTTGAAGTATTCAAATACATCTAAGAGCAATTAAGATAACTATAAATCAGTAATTGACGAGATGATAGTTCAACTACTTTTTTAACGTATTATCTAGAGTAGTGGTCATTTTCTAACGTCGTTTGTGGCAATTCTCATGTACCAATGTCCTTACTTGAAACAGCCAATTTGGGTTTATAAACCATTTGCTATGTTTAAAGGATCATCATGTTTTCGTTGTATTAGAAAAGCTTTGATTTTTATCTGTGTATGCTGATTATGTTAGATTGATATATAACGTATCTTCTACCTTCGATATTATTTATTGTACAGTACACAATAATATAACAAATTCAAAATATCCTCTCATTTCGAATAGTAAAGTCAACATAGTTCATGTTCACTTTCATCATAAATATTTTAAGTGTGAATCAATCGACACTCGATAAGATCGATTCTGGAACGAACATGGAATTTCCTTTATATAAGGTGAACGTCGTCGTTCAAAAGGCTTATCATGTTGTGGAAGGATAGTTTGACGTAAGTGAAAGTTTGTAAGTTGAGGTAATAATGGACTAATCGTTGTTCTTACCCATTGTTGTAAATGCTTAACAGGGTCACCAGGCTTTTCATCCAGAAAAGATAATCCATATATATGCATAGGTTCTAAATAAATGATAAGTTTTTTTACATTTGAACAATACCGAGTAAATAATAATGTAAGTTCGTCTTTTGATTTAAGATCAAGTACTCGAAGAGTTAAATTGGTGAGACAATGAATTCTATCATTTCTTTTCGCATATTTATTTATATTAACGCCAGGTTGAAGTGATTCACAAATAAAAACATGAAATGATATCAAATTTGGCATTCGATCAAGAAGATTATTAATAGTTAATATATTTTCGCAACTACCTATCCGTAAATATTCTAAATACACCTTTTTTTAATTTTAATTCACCCAAGGAAAAAATTTTTGTTTGAACTTCTCCAAGTTGTGCTTTATCGAAATTATGAAGAGGACATGAATTTACATATATATATTCAAGATTTTTTAATGAAAGAGTATTAAATATATACAGTAAAGAAGTTACTGATAAGTTTGAAAGTATTAAATTATAAACCGAAGAAAGACATGAAATTGAGGAAATATTTGTGTATCAGCTTTTGTATGTTGTTGAAGATTTACATAATGTGAATAAGTATCTATAAGATGTTGTAAACGTTCATTCAACTTACCAAAAGCACAGGTAATATCATAATATGAAAGATAATCAAATAATTCGTATATAACTTCATTACTTAAATCTTCGAAAACAGTGGGATTTTCAGTCTTATATTGGCGATAATTAACCTGTTGTTTTGATTTTTTACAACCCATGTGAATAAAATTCTATTCAGTTACATTATGATTTGTTTTTTTTCCTATGATTCATAGGTTATAGTCGAAATTATCTATACTAAATTTTATTAAAATAATTTTTTTATTCTTTAATTAAATTTCAATTCATTATAAAAACTCAAAGCACTAACAATGCTTGTTTGATACATAGTTGTTGTTCGTACAACACCACATCGTTCAGCTCGTTCAAAATTTGCTTTTACTCCTTCATAATAGGGTCCATCCGAAAGAACAAATGATGATAAATATATACATCGTATTCTATCAATATAATAAATCAAAAAGAATTAATAATAAAATTAAAAATAATTCTCTACCTAAGATGATCAATAAATTTTGATGAATTTTCATTTAAACGAAGTGTTTCTGGATCCCATTGAATTTCGAGACGTCTTAATTGAGGACAATTCACAGCACATGCTTCAAGTATTTGATCAATATGAATACGACGTGTTATTTGCTTAAACCAACTATGTGATGTACCAATAACAAGTATTCTATACATACATATATAAAAATAATTTTAAATAAAATATAAGAATAATTCATTACTTGATTCGATGAAGATATCGAATACAATCACTCCAAAATTGTTCTGTTATACCAATATGACCTGTATAACTTAATGCTTCTAATTGATAAGATACATTAGTAAATGATGTTAATAATCGATAAACAGTTTCAATATTTAAATTTACTGTATTACTAAAATCAAGTGCTCGACATCCATTTAATACACCACGAGTCATTAATAAATTTAAAACCTAAAAATATAAAAAAATGTATCCTACGAAAATAATAAACAATTGTTATTCTAACTTCATCTGTAAAACCATCACAATAAGGAACAGCTAGATAATTTAATTTCGATATCATTGAAAAAAAATATAAAAAAGCTTGTTCATTTAAATCAGTTGATGATAAATCTAATTCAGAAATTTGTGTTGTAGACCAATTAACAGCCATTATTGGTTCACTTTGAATACCTGAAAATATAGATAAATCATTATGATATATTTATCTAATAACTCAACAAGAAGACATCAATTAATCTTTCTTTTTCCTTTATACTAATCTCCTATCATAACAACTGACGGATGTTATATACCCGTATTTTGTAATAATAAACATTTTAATTTTCGACATCGATTCATAAGATTTTTAAAACTTGTACCAGTTACTTGTGTACAAAAATTTAATGCAAGACATTCAAGATGTATACAACCAGATGCAATTGCTTCAACATGATTATCATCAATAAAACCAACACCATATAAATTAATTGTATGTAAATTTGGTGCATTTGCTTTGATTTTACTTATATTTATTGTTTCATAATTATCTGTTTCTTCTGGTGATGATGTTGATATTAATGAAGATTTTTCAAGTGTACCAATTATATGTAAAGTACGTAATGATGATAAGAAACTATAGATACGTCGCATAAAACCTTCGAGAAAAATAACTTCGGATAAACAAATACATAATCGTTTAAGATTACATGGAAATTCATTTAAATCACTAAAATCATGTAATTGCATAGCTGATGAAAAATCAAGTGTTAAATATTCTAAATTTGGACAACGTATTGCTAATTCACGTAGAACTTCTATCGTAATTAATTCGATAGGTAGATCAATATAAATAAGTGATGAATTAAAACGTGTCGCAATTGCATGAATAAATAAATCTAAACGACGAACATGAACAGCACCAGTATAACCATTACTAGAATCCGGACGTAAAAAAAGACGTCGCCATAAATGTGAATGATGAGAAACGAGAAGATGCCATCGATGACATACACGTGTACAACGTATAAGATCAAGTGGTGTTAAATAAGAAAATACTGCAAGAAGAATATTATCAGGTAGAAAACGAAGAGAATTTAACTATAGAGATAGAATCTTTTCTAGCATGTTTTTATTTTTATCAATGACAACTTACTCGACTTGAACGACGTCGGTGTGGATCAATTAGCGGTAGATTATTTACTTCATTTATATGTAAATCATGCTCATCATTAATTGATGTTGTCGTAATACTTACACGACTTGGTCGATGAGAATTATTTCCTTGAGTAAAAATTGATAACGTTTGGCGGGTATTCATATGTAACTATTAATAATACTTAAGTATGGTACTATCGGTTTGTTGTCAACTTATGGTTTGTTTCATTGTTTATTCTTTTTTTTTTCTTCTATTTCTACATTAGTTAAATATATCGACACTTTTTCTTTTTCTTAGTCTGTTATCAGCATCTGTCATCATAGATCGATACTATATACATCCAGTTAGATGCTGTTGTTTGACAGAAAACAATTGGTCCTGTTGAGAAATGAGAAAAAAAAAGAAGATAATAAAGAGAAAAAAAAGAAGCAAAGCCTACCAATACCATTTAATCGGAAGTAACAGGTGATAGCATAAATAAAAAGGTCATTCAAGTGACGAATTCTCTTATGTATAGAGAAAGAGAAAGAGAGAGAGATAAGATTTATTTTATATATGATGATAATAACTAATACTTCTATTCATCAACATCATAAATCATTTTTCATTTGCTATAACTGAAGGTTCATTAAAAGAATAATACAAAAGAAAAATATAGTCATAAACAGGTAGACTTGAGATATATATTTACTAAAAGAAAAAACTAAAAAAATACATATTACGTCAATATTTAACTAGTATAATAATTTCTATAGTCGAATACATCTAAAAATATCTCATTAACGTCTAAAACAACAGCTGAAGTTTCTACTTCTGATGGATCAATGTCTGGCATGCCACTCAAACTCCTAGCAATAGTAGTATTTTTTGTTACACCGACATTTTAATGTTATATACAAGTCTTGCTTATGTCAACTATATAAATAGCGTCTGTCTTAGAAGAAATACATTAGGAATTGATTTGTTACAGTTCTAATACCATTGCTATGAGGTGCTGCGTTTAGCATGACAGTCATATTGACTAATCTATTTTTTTTATAGATAATTATTAGTTCTACTGACAAAATGAAGATACCTGTATATTATCAATGATTAGTATATCATTGATAATTCTCCTTCACGATCATCATGATTCCTACCAACCGTTATTTCATAAGTAGCATTTTTTTGTCCATAATCGTATATATTTATTTTCTTTATGGGCTACATATATATCATCGGAATTTCTTCATTTATAAAAATTCATATAGAATTCTTTAGTTATTGTTTTGTCAACATGAGAGCAAATAAAACTCAAATAAATGAATTATAATCAAAAGTATAATAGCATTTGAATGATAAATATATTTATGCATATTTAATATGTGTTAATGTATAAATTATTTTTAAAAAACAGTTGTACTGATCTATCTTCACACTGAAATATATAATCAACGGATATTTTTATTACATGTGTTGTAAACAACTTCTGTGAATGAATAGAGTTATTTAAAAATAAGATTAGATATTAACACATGAGCATCAGTATGCAAAGAATATTTTAAAACAATTCGATAGACTATCTTTGAAAGATTAGTTAATAGGAAAAAATCAAGCTTTTTTTAGAGCAAAAATGATTCTAATTTTGAAGAAATCTTTATTTTAAAATGTTAGTATACAAATATTTCTTCCAGTTGCATAGTTTTAAAAAAACAGTACACTGTTTGTTAGAAACCTACAATTTAACTGATTAAAATGATGGAAAAAAGTAAATTGAATATATTTGTATGATGAAGACAAAATATATATGCAAGTAATACTATTTAGTTTAATTTTACACAATTCATTGGAAGAATATGATATGAAGAAGATATGATTAATTTAACTATCTTTGAAATAATGCTAAAACAAGTTCACCTTTCTAAATGACCAATATATTTTTTTGTATGTTATAGTATAAAGAGAGACAGAAGAAATCGATGTGTATGTATATTATCGTCACGAATGAGCGATTTTGACTCATTCTTTACTATAAATATCGATCGTATGATCGATTGACAATAGAGTAGTATAAAATTTCATCTCGACAGTTTGTTTTTACGTACCTTCAACTAACAAATATAATAATGTCCGAAAAACACAAAGACGAATTCAAACCAAAAGCCGACAACGATATTCCTAAACCTCAATCGACAAATATGGCAAAGCAAGACGCGAACAAAAATGAAAATAAAAAAGAAGATGAACCTAGTCTCGACGAAATTGAAGAAGAACTGGATGAACTTCGTCCAAAACCACCAACACCAGAAGCAAAACGTCGAATTGAAGAAGCAGAAAAAGAACACGATCGACAAGTGCACGAACAACATAATCATAAAGAATCTTCAACATCACTCAAAGTGAAAAGAAGTGATGAAGGTGAAGGTCATCATAACGATAATGAAATCACACCTGGAGAAGATGATCCAACTGTTAATGATAATGTCAAATTTCCGGTACTAAATGATCACGGTGATATTGAATATAAATCGCAACAAGGCAGCGTCTTTAAAAGACATAAAAATGATAATTCGACACATGAAACTGAATCAACTGAAGAGAACAAGAAACCAGCTGAAAACAACGACAAAACACCTGAAGAGAATAAGAAACCAGTTGAACAAACTGAGAAATCAACTGAAGGCAATAAGAAACCAGCTGAAAACAACGAGAAAGCAACTGAAGAATAACTTATATATTCATATCTGTATTTTATACAAACTATTTCGATAATTATAACTAATATGATTTGTTTGACAAAATATTATACTTGTTGTTCATTAACTAGTATATATACTAACTTTTTATTCTGTATAAAATACTCTATAGATCAAAGTGTTTACGTAGATATTCTAAAAATTACTTTAAAACTCCTATTAATTTTAAAATATTGTCAAGTTATAATAAGAAATAAAAATTTTTTAAGCTAGTCAATAAACTAAGGTAGCATTGAAGCAATATTCCAATTACAATAATAATAAAATACTTAATATCATTTTGGACAGTATGAAAAAATAAGAATGATTCAAAAATATATTGACTCTACGGTGAAATAATACTATGATTACTCGTGTATTGATATTGAACTAATAGACTGTAAGATTTATTTCAAAAACTTATTGCTCTCTTTCCTGTTTTTATGCTGATCTGTTTACAAGTTATATTGAATTTAGTAGTTTGAAAATCAGTAGCCTCGAAAAAAAGCATCATTATACACTAATGATATTAACTGCTTCTGCATTTATATTGTTCTTATATATTTCTGCTCGATGATTGATAGATTAGAGTTTCTGATATTTATTAGAACTTATGAAACGTTGCCATTTGAAGAATGATCTTCATAAAATCTATTATAAATTTTAAACATTCATATTACATTTGATTGTTATAGGACTGAACAAACCATATTTATTATCTTATCGTTATTTTTTATTTTGATAATTCATATTCGAGAATAATAAAAGATATTATAAATCAATTTATCCCATATAGACATAGTTCCTTGTTTGAATACTTACCAATTAATATGCTACTGAACATCCATATTTTAAATAACTAATTTTCTACAAAATATCATGTTATTCTATACGTATGTATAAATTGTACTTAGCTGTATATCGTATTTAAAGTTCTCTTTCAAGATATGTTATAAATACTCGACACCTCATTGTATTGTTCTCTCATATCGATTAAATTATAGATCACCTTTCATAACGTCTACATTGTGACGTGATACGTAATATATTAATGACATAGTAGTAATTCAACTGGTTAACAGAATCATTATTATATGAGAAAAAAGTTAGTAAATTTGACTATTATTTTTACTAAATGAATCTAATTCATCAATCATAATATGACATAAAAAAATTTCTCTTTTTCTGATAATAAAGATATGTTCAAATTTCATTCTTAGTAACATATACCATTATTTTCTTGTTACTAAATTAAAAGATTAAATATTTTTTTCACTATTAAATAACAGATTTTTATGTATATAAACAAAATTGTTGGTTACCAAACACGATGAATAGTTACTTTATTCTCTTGTCACATTATAGCAATTTATATAATTCATGCCTTTTAAACTAATTAACTTATTTTAATATTTTTTATGGTATAATAAACCAGCATGGTTGCATTATCATTTTCTAAGAAGAAAATAACGATTAAATACTATCAAGAATAACTTGCCAAAGCTTGAGAATAGTTTTATTGTAAAAATACATTTTCTGTCCTTTTACACTTTAACTCAAATATAATCGTACAAGAAGCATTTTAGAAGTCATATCTTTAGTGAAATCAAAATGAATCTAACATTGATCATAGAATACATTATTCCAAACGAGAAGAAAGTATATATCATCTCTTTCATATTGTATATTCAATTTATTGCATTAACAAAAAAAGGAATTCTGATTCTTATTCATAGCAATTCAATTCCTACATTTAATGTATTACTTAAAATCTACTTCATTATAAAAAATATTCTTTTTTTCTTCGATTGATTTCAAAAAATTATAGTAACTATGATGTATAAAGTAAAAATTATAATGTAAACATTTTTTCAGCCCTTTTCTCTCTCCCTCTCTTAATTCTGTATGCACAAAGTTTGAATGAATTATCAAAAAGAAAGAACAAACAACAACATATGAAACAGACAAATATTCAGTTTGAGTTGTCATGATGATCATTATTAGAAATAAAATCGTTACGTTTTTATATGATTCATTCTTAAATTTCTTTTTTTTCAATCTACTTTTAAGTTCATCTAGCTTCTTTTTTTTCTCGTCTCACTCTCATCACCATCACCACTTCAAACTCGGTTGTCGATTCGTGGCAACGAAACAAACAAAACGGTCGTCGTTGTTGCTGTCTTCATCCCTACTGTATTGTATATTATTTGTTCATCGCCCGACGACGAATGTTAAAAGAAAAAAGAGCAAAAGCGAGAAAGAACGAAGAACAGCATATTATATGTTACCGTAGAAACATGCATGTCTGTTGGTTACCAGCAACACATCAAGTGCAAAAGTGTGTATGCAAAAATTAGAGAGAAAAAAGTGAGAAAGAGAGAGAGAGAATGAGAGAAACAATATTCCTATATAAAGCTCTGTGTCTGTTCGTTGAGAGTCGTTCGCCTCTCTCGTTTCTTCAACATCATTTCTTTTCATTACTCGTCGTTCTCGTCGTACTAAAAAACAACAAATATGCGTGAAATCGTACATAGTAAGTCTAAGAAAGTACAGTCGAAATTAATTGTATCCTATATGAAATTATAGTGCAAGCTGGTCAATGTGGTAACCAAATCGGTGCCAAAGTATGAATAGAAAAAATAAATTTCTATTGAACAAATGATTTATTATTATATAATATTTTAGTTCTGGGAAGTTATCTCTGATGAACATGGTATTGATCCAACTGGTACATACCATGGTGATTCAGATCTTCAACTTGAACGTATCAACGTTTATTACAATGAAGCTGCTGGTAAATTAATTGAAAATTTTGTGATTTTAAAATGATAAAATTCAATTATTCAATTTAGGTGGTAAATATGTACCACGCGCTGTTCTCGTTGATTTGGAACCAGGTACCATGGATTCAGTACGTTCAGGTCCATTCGGTCAACTTTTCCGACCAGATAACTTCGTCTTTGGTCAATCAGGAGCTGGTAACAACTGGGCTAAAGGACATTATACAGAAGGTGCCGAACTTGTCGACTCTGTTTTGGACGTTGTCCGTAAAGAGGCTGAATCCTGCGATTGCCTCCAAGGCTTTCAATTAACACACTCATTAGGTGGTGGTACTGGATCAGGTATGGGTACCTTACTTATCTCAAAAATTCGTGAGGAATACCCAGATCGTAAGTTTAGATTTATATATATAAATAATTTCGAAAATTATAAATTCTCTCTAAAGGTATCATGAACACCTTCAGTGTTGTACCATCACCAAAAGTCTCGGATACAGTCGTTGAACCATACAATGCCACATTATCTGTCCATCAATTGGTTGAAAATACTGATGAAACATATTGTATCGATAATGAAGCTTTATACGATATTTGTTTCCGTACATTGAAACTTACAACACCAACATACGGTGATCTTAACCACCTTGTCTCGGCTACAATGTCAGGTGTTACAACCTGTCTTCGATTTCCTGGTATAATCAATAATAATAATAAAAAAAATATCTTAATTATAATTATTTTTTCTTCTCTTTTTAAAGGTCAGCTCAATGCTGATTTACGTAAATTAGCTGTCAACATGGTACCATTCCCACGTCTTCACTTCTTCATGCCTGGTTTTGCTCCACTTACATCACGTGGTTCACAACAATACCGTGCTTTAACTGTACCAGAACTTACCCAACAAATGTTCGATGCCAAAAACATGATGGCTGCTTGCGATCCTCGACATGGTCGATACCTTACAGTTGCTGCTATCTTCCGTGGTCGTATGTCAATGAAAGAAGTTGATGAACAAATGCTCAACGTACAAAACAAGAACTCATCATACTTCGTTGAATGGATCCCCAACAACGTTAAAACAGCCGTTTGTGATATTCCACCACGTGGTCTTAAAATGTCGGCTACATTTATTGGTAAGTGAATTTATATATAGAAAACAACTTGCAAATATTTAACAATATTCAATTTTTTTTATTTAGGTAACAGCACTGCCATTCAAGAATTATTCAAACGTGTCTCGGAACAATTCACAGCTATGTTCCGTCGTAAAGCTTTCTTACATTGGTATACTGGTGAAGGCATGGACGAAATGGTTAGTTTAAGATAATATTTACAATGAAATTATTTATATATTTTTTTGTTTTTTAGGAATTCACTGAAGCTGAATCCAACATGAACGATCTTGTATCTGAATATCAACAATACCAAGATGCCACGGCTGAAGGTAAATCTTAGATCTTATTTATCTATTTTACTTATAAATTTTTGTTTTTTTTCTTTTTGCAGAAGAAGGTGAAGGTGGTGAAGAAGAAGGTGAACAAGAAGGTGCCTAAATCAGCCAATAAACAAAAAAGAATAGACATTTTTTTTTATTCCATCATCGACTATGAAATTTTTCTTTTTTTTTCTATTATAAAAAAAATCCTTTGAATCTCTTTCTATAATTTCTTTTTCTATACCATCATTAGTCTCGTCTTATTTTTATGTACAATGTCTGCTTATATCTTGTATTTGAAAAAGTGAAAGAACAACAATAATAGAAACATCAGAGACAAAAAAAATAATAATATCCTAATTCTTTTTTTTTCGAAATAATAAAAAAATTGATCAAATGAGAATATAAAAGTAAACAATATTTTCTTCATGATAATTTTTAATGCACTTCAAGATTTTTGGAATCAAAGAATATTCATTGTATTGTTTCACTAATGAAAGATTAAAAATACTTAATCGATGTTTTAGATTTTTTTGTTTATCTTTGTTAAAATGTTATTTCAAAATTCAATGGTTTCTTTTAGTTTTAAATTATATTTAAAAGAGGAATATTTTGTAAGACTATGTAAAGAAATAAAATGGTCGTTAAATACTTGAAACAATATTTGATCAATAATAACCATTGTTTGTATAGATACCATTATAAAATTTTTTTCAAAAGTTTGCTAACCATTATTATGCGAAAGCTTTCTTGTATGTTTTAAATCAATTATTTTAATTCGACATCGAAGTTTCGTTTTGTATGACTACTGAAAATAGAATAGGTTATGCAAAAAATATACTTGTTGGTATGAAATGAATGAAAAATAACATTATTGAGAAAATTTGTAATATTTTATATGGAACGTGGTTATTTTTATTTCGTAATATTATTAAACAAGGGAATTATCATGATCGAAAATTGTTTCGTTTTATAATTTTTATTTTAAAACTACATGAAGTATATAAAAAAAATATGATTTTAATTTTCAATTTCAGTCTTAATAGAAAGTAATAATAATTCTTGATTAAGATCAGTTAATGCTTGTTTAGTTTTTATTATAACTTCTTCATAATTATTATCATTATATATTTCTCGAAGAATTTTATTAGTACATGTTGTGATCAATGTCGTGTTGGATGAACATAAAAATCCATGAATTTCTTCGTCATTACAAGATGTTTGCATATGACTTATTAAAATATTAAGTTCGGCAAAATATTTCATAAGAACACGTTTATATTGGATGATATTGAATTTATCTTGTTGTGTTATTGTTGGAGAAATTAATTGTTGTAATATTGGACAGGATTGTTTTGTTTCTTCTAATACAGTCTTGCTAATACATTTATTTAAAACTCGAGCATAACGATGTTTACTACGATATTCATTTACAATGGAAGAAACCATGGATGAAATAGCTTGAAAACGATTTTCATTTGTACAATATTTATCAATAAATTGACAGATTACTAATGGTCCTTTGGTTTGAAGTACAGCAGGTTTTAATGACCAAATATTTTCAGCCAATTGAGCTAATTCAATTGTATCGTTATCAATTGAGGATATTGGTTTAATTGAAACTCCATTGATACTAACAATAAATATCATACAAAACAAAATAACAGGACCACGATACATTGTTTTTGATATATACGTTAGTTATCATTCTTGGAAGACAACAGTCGTGCATTTATATTTCATTCATAGAATGTAGATTTTTAGGAGAACGTTTAATATTATACATTCCATGTGAATGATAAGGCAGAATATATTCCGTATAAAATTTTCCCCATCACAGTACATTGAAATAGTTCAAATTAAGAATAAACGTGTAAAAATGCAACATAGTATGAAATTGTCATCTGATTTTTTGTTTAAAATATAAACAAATAATTTAGAAGATTCAGTTGAAAATCGTGATCGAGAATTCCTTGGTTACATGATCGATTTCGAAATATCCAATTACTCATAATGATATTCTCCGTCGTTTTAATAAACTATATATGGTAATTATGAAAAGTATCGACGTCATTTATATGGTTGAGTAAATTTTAAAAAATAAAAGTTAACAGTTGTTTAATTATTTATTAACAAATCTAAGCAATACAGTTATTTTTATTTGCTTGAACTGCGTAATTAAACAAAAATCATTTTTCAATATCTTATATTTACAGAATAAGCTTGCTGCAATCGATGGATTTAAAATCTATCAGAAGCTTAAATGATATAATTTGTATGAAAAGGAACAATATTTTCTTGTAGTATTATTTGAGAGATAGTCCAAAAAAGAAAGACTTGAGCTTCTTTCTTTTTCTTATTCTTCTTCGTCCTAGATATAAATATTCAAGTTATGTCTAACACATTACAAACAAAAGAATATTCATTATATATTTGTCAACGGAAACTTTATTTCCTTTCTTTATCTCTTATTATTTTCCTTCAATCTACATCTTTATATAGTATTGTATTCGTAAAATCGATTAGTTTGATCAACAGGAAAAACAAATAATTTCGAACACATACAAAATATTCTTCTAGTCAAAAGAACATCATTTGTATTTACCATGGTTGACAATGTAACAATAAATTATACTAACTCATACGATGATGAATATGGAGATGGAAATGAAGTATTTATTCCATCAGCTCAAATACAATTTTGGACATATCTTATCTTAGGAATTCCATCACTTTTTTGCACTATATTTCTACTTTATCATTTAATATTTGATCGACGTTTACGTCAACAAATACATAATCATGTTGTAATTGTCTTACTTTTTCTTTGTCTTGTTATCTTAGCTGTCGATAACTCGTTATATCTTGATGGATGGCGTGTAGGTCATGGAAATTCAATTGCATCGACACCTACTATATGTTTATTCTGGTGGTTTATTGATTACGGTTTTTACGGTGCAATATCTGTATTTCTCGTATGGGCTTCATTCGAAAGACATATACTTGTATTTCATCGACGTCAATTTCTTAGTACAAAACGTAAAATTTTTTATGTTCATTATCTTCCTTTAATTATTATTTCAATTTATACAATTGGATTTTATATTGGTGTAATTATATTACCGCCATGTAAAAATATTTTTTATTTTAATTATTTAGCATGTGGTTCATCGCCATGTTATCAAGAAATATCATGGATGAATACATGGGATTATTTATTTAATGGTGTTTTATGTAATATTTTCGAAGCAATATTTAGTATATCATTATTATTGAGAACAATTTGGAAAAAATATTATTCACAAAATCGTTTTCGATGGAAAAAATATCGAAAAATGACTATACAATTACTTTCAATTTCAACTCTATCATTATGTATTCATCTTCCTCAATCATTAATTATTCTTGTTCGACAAATTCAACCTAATAGGAATGATTTTGGTGCCAATATTGAACCGTATTTTTTTTATTTAACTGGTTATGTTATTTTCTTGGTACCATTTGTATCTCTTGGATGTCTACCTGAATTATGGCCGAAACTCTTACTTTTTAATCAACGACATCACTGCATGATCGGTCCTATGACAATGATTGCTGCTGCTGCTACTGAACAAACAATTCTAAGATCAAAAGATGGTTGATTTGTTATTTATATATAGATTAAAAAAATATAATTTCAATTAATAAAAAGTAAATAACATGAATATATACTAGTGTAATTAAATGTATACAATTTTATAAGATCCGTATTTAATATCTACAAATATTTCTAAAAATATAAACATATACTAACAATAATAGAAATTGATAGTTGCGGTAACTTTTCTAAGTACTATTACAAATTATTTGATGAGGTTTCATGAATAATCAAAGTTCGAATTTATTTCGTAATCTATATGTCATTATTTATACTACTGTTATACAGGACGTAAAATGTTTGAATTACTCACTAAGCCGATAATCTTACTGTGGTCTTCATTGCTCAAATCTTTTTATGAGTTCAATCCCTTCAGTTTTAGTTAATGTGTATTGATTAGAATATATTTATTCGATAGCATCTTCTTTAAACGATGAATGTATATGGAAAAAAAAACTATGTGTGGATTGAACTACGTCATGGCAATAACATTATTTACAATTGTAAGAAAATATTATTTAAAATACATGTTGCTTTAATTTTCACTGGATTAAATAATGAAATCGTATTTAACAAATCGGTTTATATCGGTAGTATGGTACATCAACTTAAATTAAATTAATATTCTTCTAATTCCTTCCAATTTACTTATACATTCTTAGGTTCCTTTTTGTTAATGAACTATAAAAATAAAATATACCATGAATAACTATTCTGAGACTAAATCTGTCATGGTCTATAATAAATAACAGTCACGGTCTGTGATACTTATCAGAGCTAATTAGTAATGTCTTTCACGGTCTGAAAGGAACTGTGATTTGTCATCTTTCTACTTCAACATTCCTTCTACAAAAACATTATCAAGAAACCAAAGATTTTCATCAAAAACATCATATTTATCATAAGAAGTATTTTCAGAAACAAAGATTTATGATGGATATATCAATAAATAAATTTATTATACTCAAACGGCATTTAATAGTCTTCTATAAAAACAAGTCTATTCAGAAAAAAGCAGTTTTACTTATACCTTCTCGTTTTTAATCATAAGATTATTTTTTCAAAATATTCGAATTATGCATGATTATGATAAGAGACTATTGTTCAAAAGTAACATGCACTCAAGTTACACTCACATCTTTCTCTATAATACACGTTATATTGTAAGTATTTATTTCATCTTTTGTTCATATGATATACTATTTTGTATAAAAAAAAGAAAGTTCTATTAACTCCTCCGAAATGATTTGTTTCTTTTCGATTATCAATTCATGCAAGTATTATTCCAAACATAACTATGTGTAATTAATGTACTTATTTATTCATATACTATTATCACCTAGAGCTGTTTATATTGTCTGCTGATTTCAATAAGTTATCGCATCAATGCATATTTATTACATCAAATCTTTTAAACTCCAATTGATATAAAGAAACCATTAGCATTTTTTTGTCTTACAATAACAAAATCATTTTTATATAAAGCTTCTACATAAATATTTTGATTATAGATAATGTAGGAATTTTATAAAATTTCCTTGAACTTATTTATTTATTTAATCTAGCATTTCTCTTTAATGATTTGATCAAAGAAGATATATCAAATCACATATCACAAATGCATTATTATTATTATATTAAATTGAATATTAGTATACAAAAATTTGAAATTTTGTTTTGTTTATCTATAAAAAGTCTAATATTAATAAACAAATAATGAAGTATTAACAACAGTTATAGTATTTGGAGTAGCAGATTTTATCATTAGTTTAGAATTATCACGACTATGTGGCATAAGAAGATGAATATCAGGAAACTAAATAATTTCAAAAAAAACAATTATAATTAAAAAAAATAAAAATAAAAGTTTACTAACTAAATATTTATTCATACACAACAAAATTGCATTTATAAATGACCAAAATGATAGAATTAATAGTAAAAATGTAGCCGTAGCTAATGTCCATTGTTTACAAGTCATCCGAATCTAATCTGATCGACTCGACTAACAAAATTTATTTCTTGTATTTGTCTTCAAAACTAAAATATATCCAATCAAATGTCAACAAGCATACCTCTATTGTATATCGATTATGATTGGTGAAAAGACTCCATCTACCTTCTTTTTTTTTGATTTTTATTGATGAAGAAAGGTGAAAATATTCTTACCTAGACTTCGATATATATATTAATAAGTAGTTATTCATCGATAGATATATTATAAAAATAATTGATAGTTTTTTTTTCTTCTCAAATGAATTTCTCATTATGAATTACAAGGTTATAGAAGAAGAAGAAGGAAAGAATCGAAAGTAAAATTTACATGTATAATAGAGAATAATCCTATAACAAATATCCTTCTTTCTTTTTCATATTATGATTTTATCAATGTCTTTTTTTGTAACAACACTCCTCATATATATATATATTTTATCGGTTTCTTTTTTTTTTACATATATTATATATTCATAGTTTTATTTTGTAATAAAGATTTCTTATTATTGACAACATGCTGAGATAGTATTTTTTTTCTTCTATTCGATTCGTATTATTCATTTATTCTGATTCATATAAATGTAACTCGTTTTTTCTCGTTTATTATTGTAATTCGTGCTATTATGCATTTTTATCTCAAGAAAGTATATGTGTGGGTTGAGCATTTGCCTATCAAGTATGTATATATACGTATATATATATATATATATAAATCAGTGCATACGAACGTATGGACATGACAACAATGTCGACGGTTTACTCATTGTACATATTCACCGACATCAACTTTCTAAGTAAGAGAAAGAAAAAAACCTACACGATGGTTACTCAGATGTGTCGTCTGTCTGTTCTCTTTTCTTTCGCTCGGTTTTTATTTCTATTCTTTTTTTCTCCTGTCGTCGCTTTTATACATACACTGCAATGGTAGCCAAAAAGACGAGAAAAAGAATCTATGTATGTGTATGTGTACATATACAACTTTGTAGTGATGGTGGGAGTTCGCGTTTGCATCAAATAAGAAGAGAAGAAAAGCCCTGAGAGATACAACAAAAACGCATCTTTATTCGCTTGTCGATATACAGTTAGTTATAATGATAACGTTTTTACATTTTTTTCTCTCTTTGTAAGTTATATATTTGTTCACTTATTCAAATTTTTTAGATGGTTACATATCGTCATTTTCTATCGGTTGCATTGCTAATATTACTAATTGAAACAATTCATAGTCAAATTACATTCGAATCATTATGTTCACCTGATGTCGAAGTTGCAGGAATGTCATCAATTGATGGCAATGATGAATTTGAAATAGATCTTTTCGAAGGAAGGTTTTTACCTGAAGATACAATTTTATGTAAGAAATATTTTTGAAAAGAGTATTGTTTTTAAAGTTATGTAATGAATATTTCTAGTGGCAATAAAACAAAAAAAGCAAAACTATGGTATTAGTGAATTTGTATTACGTGCATTTGATTATGATGGAAATATTATTGGACGATTTGACGATCAACCAACAGGAAATTTAGCATTAAGACATCATACATGTCCAAATGGTGCTAATGTACGAAATTTTAATTAAAATAAATTGATTTAATTTATACTTTTTTTAAAATAGGTTATTTATCTTGATCGAGCTGAAAGTCGTGGTTATCGAGAAATTCCATTACAATGGAGGGCTACTGGTTTTAATCCGAATATTGATGAAGTTACTTTTAAGTAAATTTATAGTTAATTATTATTCATTATTTTTATTATTATTATTGTTTTTTTGTTTTGTAGAGCAGATATTATTTCAAATCGACAGTTATATCGAGTGAAATCAGCACCTTTAAAACGAGTAAATTTTATTCAATGTTCTAGATAATTAGTATATAAAATTGTGTTTATTTTTATTTGAAGCGTTTAGCATCTGGAGTAGTTCCTTATTTAGATCGATCAATTAATATTGATTATTGTGGTGAATCTCAAGGTTGTTTAATTGTTCCACAACAATGTAATAATGATGCTAAATGTGAATATACACTTTCATGGCAAGTACCTAATGAAGATTCAGCGAAATTTCATATTGTTGCAAGAGCACAAGGTTTTGTTGGTGTTGGATTTTCAAATGATGAAAAACGAGTAAGTAGAAATATTCAATTGATGATGCCTTAGAGACATTTGTTAAGAAAATACTTTTTCTTAAAATTCTGCTTGAATCATAATGACCATTATGTTATTAACGAGAATATATATTTAGATGTTTTGACTACATAATGTTACTTTAGTTTGATGTTGATAAGATAGGAAAATGGAAAAAAAAGCATCCATTTTTCTAGGTCTCCCATGAGTTCCATATCAGATCACGTTAATAAACTCGACATCTCTACTACCAAGTACATCAACATTGATGATCATCTTATGTAGTTGATTCAGTACGTGTACTGATCATATATACACAAGATTGATAGAACAAAGCGGTTGTCTAAGCTATTCTAACATTAAAGAGAAATGATCGAATTTATCGATTTAGTTTAAATCAAAAATTGTAAATCTTTCTTATCTGGACTATTATTCAATGTTCCACATAGTGCATTAGAAAAATAAACAAACACACACATGAAAAAAAAAACATTTCATGTGCAATTTTGCTCGTAGATAAATCTCGCCATAAGTTAAATATTCCAAATACATTATATTTACTCTTATCTCATTGTCTGTGTTGAAAAGTACGTTGAAATAAAAGTTTGATGTCATAGCTTAGATCAACAACAAATAGTTCAGAAGGATATATATTCTTAGTATACTATATTACCACCTACTGAGATATAAATTGCAGTGACAAGTCTTAGACGTTATCGAGAGAAAGAAAACGTTAATATAGAACCCCATGAAGTATAATAAGGTTATACAGAATGATATGAAGGTTATACTATCTATTTATTAATGATAATCTATATATTTTTTTTTTTGAGAGAAAAAAAAAGTCTATTTTACTCTTTAATCAAACGATTGAAACTAAATATTTTACGATTCATTCAAGGGTGATGATCAAGTGGTTTTATGTACAAGAGATGCTCAAGGACATGTTTATGTACATAATATGTTTGTTGGTGTTCAAACTCCACAATATGTTTTACGTGGACGACCAGCTTATGGTTTACAAGACACCGATGGTTATTCAAATGCAACACACATTATTTGTAAATTTACGCGAAAGCTATCACCATTTACAGACACATCGGTAGATAATGATGGACGACCTACTGATGGAGTTGATCGAGATAAATTTGTTGATTTAAAAAAGCCACATTATATGTATCCAATCTATTCTAATGAAGATTTAATGACAGCACAAGGTACGAACATAATTAAAAGAATTAAATATATATTAAAAAAAAGAATTTCTTATTATAGGTATGCGAATTCCTATCCAAGATATTCCAATTGTTAATAATCATCCAGTTAATTTTGAACGTCGTCTTGTACCTAAATCACATCCAAGAGCAGCATCCGTCTTAACAAAAATTCATGGTAGAAAAAGAAGATAAACTATTTTGTTAATTTATTATTATTATTATTTTTATTTGATAGCTATTTTAAATATAATCGCTTGGATTCTTCTTGCATCAGCTGGTGTTATGGTTGCTCGTTATTTTGATTCCGTTTGGCCAGAATATGAACGACGTGTTGTTGTTGATGGTAGTGGTGCTGTTACAGGAGAAAGAATTCAACGACGACGACGAATTTCTTCTTTCACCGTAATTGATTATAATTATTTTTATTATATAAAAAATATTTATTCTCTTATTTGCTATTTATAGATATTTCCACCTCTTATGTGTCTTGTAGCTATTTTAACATGGATTGCATTCTTCTGCATTCTTTTTGAACTTAATTGGAAATGGACATATGGAACACATCATATGTGGCATTCAATTCTTGGTGTTATTGTACTTGTCTGTGCATTCCTTGCTGTACGTATAAAAAAAGGAATTCATATATATATATATATATTGAATTTTTTATTTTAGCCAATTGTCGGTCTTTTACGACCAACACCCCGTACAAAACGCTATTGTTTTTGGTATTGGATTCATTGGTTAGTTATTTCCTTAGCTCATTGTCTTGCTGTTCCAGTTATCTTTTTGGGTATGGATAATCGTCGATTAGATTTATGGACATGGTGTTCATGGTTATTATTTGGTTGGTGTATATTTCATTTTATTGTTCAACTTATTTTTGAAATCCATGCTTGTTGTTATGCAAGACAAGAATATGAACGTATGATAAATTGTTTTTTTGTAGAAAAAATATTTCATTTGATTCTTCTAGGTTTTGAAGATGGAGATTATTATCCAGAAAAAAATCCAGATAGTCGTTTAAGACGTGAACGTGTCCCTGTATGTATTCTATTTATATGTTATTTTAAAAAATAAAATCAATTTTTTCTTTTTCTATTTTCAATAGAGTGAATCATGGAAACCAGCACTTTTAAGCATTTATTTATTTGTGACATTAATTGTAGTTATTATTCTTGTTCTTGCTGTCATCTTCTATCAAGGTTATTAGAACTTCTTTCTTTTTACTTAAATAATAACTTTATCTAATTATCCACATATTTGTTTGTATACTGCTTGAGTAATAAAAAGAATAGGCTCATATTGTTTTGGTTTTTTAATCAAGAGTAGATTAGATACGAAGTGTTTTTCTCGTTTTTCTTTTTTGTAGAACATTTGTTTTTTTTTCACAGTATTTTAATAATATTATGGTTTTGCTTCTTAAGTTTTTTTATAGAGTGTGACAGTGAACATTTGAAAAAATAAATTTTCATTTTGTTCTATATTGAACAAAAATGTCAACATGTAATGACAGATTCTTGTTGAAATCGATAGAACTTTTTTTAAAATAATAGAAAAAATCTAAAGATTGAAAGAGAGACTGTTGCTATTTCATATCAATGGTAATCAATCATGAAGGCCGATAATAAATCAAAAAAATATTCTGATAGGCTTATTCTAACCGTTACTTTTAACGATGTAAATACTTGCTCGACTGGTATCTATTTATACTGTATTATAAGTATTTTTTCATAATGATGGATGCATTTATTCATCTTTTTGATCATCACGTGCACTCGAGTGTTACTAACTTTACAGGGTTAGACGATTAGTCAATAAATATTGCTATACAAATATTTTTTCATTTTGGTACAAATCTAATTAATCAGGACATTTAACAATGATTTAAAAAGTTATCATATCGCAATAATATATTATTGAAACAAAGATGTACGAATTGCTTTATGTTGTTTATCTTGAAATATATATTTCATTGAGTACTATTTGGTTTTTTGGAATCAGACTTAGTCTCTTTGATCTTCGTCAAAGGTTTCAAATGAACAATTGAAATATGTTGCTGTAAAAGTTTATAAATAAGACCGTATACTGTAATTTAAAATATGTCCTTTATTTCATTGGATAATGTGTACTTATTTATAGATCATCAATACTTAAATATTCATCTAATATCTGAAGGTTATTTTCAGAAGACTTTTCGATCAGCGATATGATATGATGCTGAAGAAAATTTCAAGGAACAATTAATGATATTTAAAATGTTCAAGAAAGGAAAATTTCTGTTTCTTATTATTTATTCTAAAAATGAACAAAAAAGATGCTAAAATCTCCTATCAAATACTGGTGAAATATGTCTCTGAATAAAATTCAAATATTTGATCGATATTTTAATGCTTCATTTTCTTAAATTCAACGCATATATGAAACGTGTTAAGTCTTTTTTGACTATGCTACAACATTTTTTCAAAGAATGATTGATATGTTTCTAATAATATCAACTCTACATATTATTTACTAATATATACAAGTTACAGTAGTAATAACTTTGGCGACTGTTGGTATCGGTATTCTAAAAATGAATTTTATTCGAGTGAGTTTATTATATACATTCTAATCGATACATTTCAAATTATGTTGCACAATTAGCTACAGGCTGTAATAACAACTGGTTCTCTTCATTGATATCTGGAAATTGTAATTTGTGTCTTTTCGCCATCAATCAAAATATGCCTTATACATCTAGTTATATACTAGCTAATTGCACATCATATATTGCATGTCCATTGGGACAAATTCATTATCCTGAAATAACATCACAAGCACGTATAACTACTTCTATGAACATCAAATATAACAGTAAGAAAACTTCGTGTTGTAAGTCATTGATTCATTTTTAATACACATCATTTGTAATCAATCCAATCTTCTCGAATTGGGTGAAAGAGTTGAATCAATTGATTTTCTGTAGGAAATAGTTCAGATAATTCAATTTCGTTTAAAATAATAATTTCTTCACAAATCGAAGGTATTGTCCATAACATTTAATTTCATATTTATCTTTTATTTGATATCTATCCAAGTTTCTAATAATTGGCTTGAAAATATCTTCGACATCAAATATATAATTCATATCACAACATACAACATAGATTGATAAAATTCTTAAATTCGCAAAGTTTTCTAATATTTTCCTAATTACATTTGGTCGATCTTGACATTCTTCAACATTAAATGTATAATAATACGTTAAATTTAATTCTTTTAAATTAGAAAAATAATGATAACTTATATCTGCTAATATTTTTACATAAAAAAATTGACTAACTTCAAGTCGTTGAATTCTTTTATTGAATATCAAAGCTAATTCACTGTCTATTAATGGTAATTCCGTAGCAGTTAAAATTAAATTTTTTAAATTTGGTAAAGTATATATTAAATATTCTTCTAATTGTTCCATATGTATACATTCAAGAGAAACAGTTGTGACACTATTTAACGTTACATGATTCTTCTGGATCGTTTTCTTAACAAGACAGGCAGTATTTGAAGATGATTTAGCTCCAAAAAATCTAATAGATGATAATTTCGGCATATTTATTTTTATGAATCGAAATATATCTTCAAAATTCTTATGTATTCTCATAGATAATCCAAGTGATGTGATATTATACCATAAATGCATATTATTCTTTAATAGTTGATCATTATTTGATAAAATTTGATTCGAATGTATAAAATTATGAAATTCATTAAAATGAAATGGTAACGAATATATATATGTATTTCTATGATCATTATGAAGACCAATAGACCAATTATGATCAAACCAAAATTGAGTCTGAAATGTTGATAAAAGTTTATGTATATCTTTTGTCTTTGGATATGTTTCAGCGTAAAGATAAAATTTTTTTAATTTTATCATTGATTTTAATAGTTGATTTTCAAGTTTAATACCATTAAATAGTAAATCATTCTCATCGTTCATATTGAAATTTTGAAAATTTAATGTTAAAATTATTAATGACGAAGAAAATAGTTGAATAGTAGAAATTATTTTATTAAAATCATGTGCTGAATAAACACATCGATGTGATGAATTATTTTGTTCATTGAGTTTTAAATGAAATTCTTTTAATTGAATTGTAATAAAATGATTCCATTTATAGTCTTCTTCGTTTTCATCCGAGAAAGGTGGTAATGATTGGATATTTAAATAAACTAAATTCGGCACGTATTTAATAAAAATAAAAATATCTTTAAAATGTAATAAATTTAATGTTAACGAATGAATATAAATATTTACTGTCCAATCATTACAGTTTGATTTAGTAAAAAGTGGAAGATATTCAAATACTTGTAGATTATTTTCTTTACTAAATACTTTTTTAAATAGTATTTTTTCATCATCGGATTCAGTTTGATTATTGGGCCATTTAGATACAATTCCATCTTTGATTTTTAATATATTTAATTTTTGAAATTGTTTATGTTCTAATATTAGTTTTAATTGTCCATCGATGAAATCAAATGATGACTTGATGATAATTGAGGTTAGATTTGGAAATAAATCTAATGATAGAGTTAAATAATCATTAACAATAATTAAGGATTTTATATATGATCCAGTGATTAATAAGATTTGTTGCCAAAAATATAGATTTGTTGTTGGTAATTGTAAATTATGAATATAATGTTTTTGTGTAATTAATAAATTCTGCAAACGTCGATTTAAATAGAAAAATGAATAAATAATATCAATAGATGATAAATAATCAAATATATGAAGAATAATTTCAGTTGGTAAATAATCGAAATATGTTATTGATATATTTTCTTTTATAATATTAACAGACATTGTAAAATGTGTGTAGATATGATATTTAATAGTACTTTTTTTATTGTTTATTAAATAGAAAAACATTTTATTGACATAACGATAAGAAGCACACGAAAATGATGTTTTGATGTTATGTCGCGAAAAACTATCTTGTTATTATAATTGCAAAACAGGATTCATATTTAACTGACACACATATTCTATTGCATATAAGTTAATATTGTTGTTCTCGATGATTACAATACTTTTAGAGTATATATATGAGTAGGATTTTCATACAGTAAGTACTTCAAAATCTCACATAACATTGATTAGGAATAAAATATTACATGTCAAAATTTTTATTTAGTATTATTCTTATCATAAAAAATACATTTGCTTACTATTATTACAGAATAATCAATGATTTTAATTCGAATATTTTGGTCTATAAAATTATTCAAAATTTGTATGAACTCTTTAAAAAGAATAAAGATGTTATTTATTTAAGTTATACGCTTAAATATAGTTTCATAATTTACTATAGATATTTTTTTTGAACTACTTAAAGGATAATGATAAAGACTACATATAATTATTTTTATTATCATTGTGTAACAGCTAGACTTGTGCAAAAGATTTTATGTTTCAGCAGTTAAATATAAGATTGATATTTTTCTTTAGCATTCATGAACAAAAAGAAGATAACAGCTGTTGTTCCATTCTTTACCAAGAAAAAGATTTCCATTATTTTTCTGTCGTATTATGAAGAAAACAGAATTGGAAAAAAACAGACGAGAAAAAAACAACGAAAGAAAAAAAAACTGCGTAGTTTCTGTCTGCTGACATAGTTGACGACGGTGACAAAATATCGGTATTATCTTATTGAAATTCTACATTATTTTGATTATCTTTTTTTCATCGTACTATGATTCTTCTCTCTTTATTTTACTTATTCTCGTGTCTCATTTTTAATAGTAATTCTTCTGTATTAGTTAAATATATTTTTCTTGGAATAATACGCATATAGATGGAAAAAAATATGTAGTAGTCTAGACATTTACTCTCGAAATAGAACATGTTCGCATAGTATTTTATATACTCATATGTCACTTGTTTTTGTAAAGATAAAACTATAGTATAAAAAGTGAACGTAATAATGACTATGATATTATTTGTGTAAAATAAGATTTTGTTTAGTCCTAATTATTCTCTTGTTAGAATTATGTTATATGTGATACAATTATATTGATTTATGGTCAGAGAAGGACCCGTGAGCTGAGACACTTAAAGTAGAAATAAAAAAAGTTTGTAACGAGAATACAATCCATTAAAAGATTTTTCTTTCGTTCTTTTATTGACGCTTATACCTATAAATGTGTATTTGGCGGTGTACAAATATAGTTGGAGAAAATAGTAAAAAAAAATTTCTTTCCTATTTGGTAGCTTGTTTGTTTACGACGAAATAAAAAAGTCAGGCATAATATTATTGATGTCATATAAACAATTATTCTTATCAATATTCATGTAGTTTATCATAAAGGTAAAAGCATGCGTATTTTTATTTTTGCGTTTTGTCTTATTTTTATTATATAAAAAATAAGATATATTTATTCGATGTAAGAATAGTATGCAGCGAGGAGTCTTTAAATAATAAAATGAACGAGACAGATTTTAACATTAGAAATAAGATACTTCATACTATGATCATGGTTATTTGATGTTTTTAATCTTTTATAATGGTACACAAACATAAAATAGATGAATTAAAACGAAATAAAGTACAATTCTTTATTCAAATTAGCACCTTTTCTTTTCTTTGTAGATATTTTAATCTTCAAAGATAATGGCGGAAACGAGTTGTGACTTTGAATTTATGGAATATATAAACGAGAGCTCTGTCGATCCAAATTTAATTTGTGGTATTTGTCATAAACCATTCAAGGATCCAGTTTGTACAAAGTGTGATCATACATATGGTCGTGAATGTATTACACATTGGCTTACGAATAATGTGGAAAATTTTTGTCCAGTATGTTTAAGTCAACCTTTATTGGTTAAGGATCTTACACAAGCTAGTCGTCCGTTACGTTGTATGCTCGATCAACTTCGAGTTCGATGTACACTATGTAACCGAGCTGATTTACAACGTGGAAATTTTCTTGAGCATTTAAATAAGGCTTGTCCAAATGCTACAGTTCCATGTCAAGCCGTTGACGTAAAATGTCCTTGGAAAGGAAGACGTGATGAATTAGATAATCATGTATCAACATGCGTTTTTGAGACATTACGCCCAATATTGGCCTCAATGATCGCTGAAAATCAACAGCTTATGAAACAGGTTCAAAAACACGACGACGAAATTAAGGAACTAAAAAGTAAAATGTCTCAAGGAGCCACTGGTAAATAAATTTTTTAATTCGATCAATTTTTTTAATATACGATCATTGTTGTTTTAGCAGCGGCAGGAGATTCTGACAATGAAAGCGACACGGTATCAGTCTCAGGATTTTCTGTTGATGGTAGCACTCAAAAAGAAGAAGACGCGATATTTATCAGAAATTTACCTGCTACCATCAAATTTAACGATTTATTTGATTACTTTTCAAAAGTTGGACGTATCAAGGTAAATTTAACATACGATATTTTCCATGGTAGCCATTAAGGAGTAATGAGTTTATACGTGTATATATTACTTTGTCATATTAATGGAATATAGTATTCAATGACATACAGCATGTTTGAATCAGTTCAATCACTATAATAACTCAAATACAATGTTTGCTTATTACTTCATATTTTCATATCTTTCTAGTATGACGTAAGAAGACAAAAAGTTGGTGTATTTATTTTCAAGAATCCAACCAATAAGGACGGACGATGTGCAGCAAAAGTGATTTATGTTGACAAAGAATCGGCCGCCGCTGCAGTTGCAGAATATAATCGTACCTAAATACTTCAAAACATATGACGTAGTATTATACTGTTTGTTTTGTATAGAAAGACATGTTCCACAATGGAATACACATCTTCAAGTAAGTATATCAAATCCAAAAAAGAGTACCATAAGAGATCCTGAAAAAGCCAATAAAGGTAAATGAATATTATTATGCACACGAAAAAAACTTTTTTTGTTCATTTAGGAGAAAATACTGGTATGCATCATGAAGCTAAACCGAAGGCAGAGGGTGAAAAAGCTTCAAATCAAAGCTCAAATGCTACCAACAATGCTCCTAGACCAGAATCATCAGACGAACAAAATAAAGAATTCATGAATAAGAATAGACGGTTAGTTTAGAAGAGACAAAATATTGCAATAAGAAACTTTCTGTATCTTTTTCTTTTCTAAGGCGCCCACCGCATCATCCTAAACATGCAGATAAATCAACAAATTAAAACTACACTCATTTATTCAAACAAAAATAGCTAGTAATAATATAACTATCTATCATTATCAATGAAATTTTAGTATATGTCCTATTTCAAAAATAAAAGCTTATAACGCCCATGTCTAACAAGTTTTCAAGCATCTTAACTATCATAATTAAGAGATAGTAAAAGTTAAGGACACTTTGTTTCACTTAGGAATTAAAAGAATATAATGTATCAATGTTTGTTTTTCTTAAACCAATTTATTCGTAATATTTTCAATTAATCATTATATTGGAAAGTCTTATATATTCATTCTATTAACAGTATACTATCTTCTAGTTTAATTATTCATAAAATTTACCACAAGATTAATTATAATATCACATGAATAATTAATGAGCACTGTAACTAAATCTTCAACAGAAACAACTAAGAACACATTTTAGTATAGCATATGATTGAACGTTATCTCATATTATAATACTGTGAAAGTACATGAGCACAAAATATTTCAGATATGTTGATACTCTAGAAAACTAGTTTAGAAACAGACATGAAATAATCCCTGATTCACTCTAGATATATAGTGTGAGTACTTAGACCCTTCATGTAAAAAAAATCAGAAAATAATCAAACGGCTAAGGATAATCTGGTATTAGTAACAACGATTAAAATGGATTAGATATCAAATGATGGATTAATTTTTTCATCTGATATTTAATCGCTTTTATTTTACATGGGATAGACTATGAGAATAGTACATTTTTTTCTAATCGAACTACTTACAAAGTTGGCGTCTATTTAGTGTTCGTAGTAGTATCTGATTTGAATAGCGAAAATAAACCCGATATTATTGTCGAGAATGTTGGTTCAAACAATATTGGTGTGTACCTTAATGCAGCTAATGGTACTTTTATGAGATAAACTATCTACACAAACAACTCTCATCGATGTTCAATAAACGTAGTCGATGTAAATAGTGAAGACGGACTTAATATTGTTGCTTATAGCGCTAATTCAAAAAGCATAAGTGTTCTCTTACATTATTAAAATTTATTCATGATATCTTAATACTGCATTAAGAACCCTTCTTATGTAAAATGATACAAAAGCGAAAATATTAATTTGTAGTTATCGAACACTAAATAGTTGAAATAAAAATTTAATTACTGTGGTTCTTAGTCAACAATAATACTTCCAGTGATGAAATTCATGAAACATATAAGAGTAAATATATGCTGTATATGTGCTAACACTGTTGGAAAATTTATTTGTAATTCGTAGAATAATATGTAAGGATTTCATCGGTTTCCGCTGTTGTTTCTACATCTCAAGTAAAAGGTTTATTAATCATGAACGATCAACGAAATGTTATATCGAAAATAAATGAGTTAGCATTGATGCTGAACTACTAAAAATACTTCTCAAAAGTTTACCTAATTCCTTTTCAGGTGTAGGAAAATCTTTTTAAATAAATTTTTACGCTACACGATGAGAAAATAAACTTTTTCATACGTTTTGAAGTATACATTCTCTTTTATTACTTTCAAGATCTGTCACAATCGTATAATCAGACACTAAATTATAAAACAATAATTACATATTGCTAATAATTGATGTACTACAAATAACGTTGCTGTGCCAATTGATTGTTTTCATAAGATAGATTTAAAAATTAATTCATCCTATCATATTCACATTTAGTTAGTATTTTTTTCTCAGAAATACTTAATAGCATATTGTTGATTTCTTTAAATCTATCAAGAAATGAACTAATACAGTCGATTTTTATTACTTTCATAAATATACTTTTCAAATACTCAAAAGATAATTGATTAATAAAAACAATATTCTACTTATCTACGACTGTCTAGAATCAGACTTCATATTATGATAAAAAATAAAAAAATCTACACATATTAGAATTGAAATTAACTGACGAACGTTGCCACTTTATAAGCAACTAGCATTGCTATTAAACACTGGACGATGCTGAAGTTGGTTGAACGCAGAGCTTCTCTTTCGAAACAGCACGAGGATCATATGCATAGATACCAGACTGAGAAAATCTGGATGAACAGTGAGTTACTAGAATATGACTGCGCCATAGATTTTCTATCTAGAATTGAACGAAATAAATAAAATTTCTTCTGATTGACATAAGTTAATCGATTTGTTCAAGGTTTTTCACTTACTAAATATGACAAACGTTTTTTGTCGACTACTTGAGAACTTATTTGACTGTTGTGTATCATAGGAAGCTTTCGCCAGGCAGTTTTAATCTTGGTAAGTGTTACAACGTCTAATGGTTGAAATACTGTTGTATTATTTGGAGGAAAGCATATAAGTTCAACATGATGATCCATAGCCAATTTAATAATAAGAGTGGTGATGTGAACTTTATGCCCGTCAAAGATAAGTAATACTGGTTTGCGTATATCTGCAACATACGGAATGAAATGCTGTGACAACCAGTCGAAAAAATATGCTCCTCCACTTACAGATAGTTCGCAAATAACTAATATATCGACAAATACTGCATCTAAAGAAGACACGACTGTGTCATTTCGCGATATCGATTTTCAAATCGCAGGTAGGGATTTTCTACTTCAAAAATCATCAAATCCTAAATCCACCATGCGAACAACTAGCTGTAATTCTTATATTCTTGCTGAGGGGTCACTACAACTCGATCCACAATCACAGGACTACGAACAAAAAACTCATGACCCAATGAACCAACAACAACATCTGTCAAAAACATTTATGTTTCCTTCACCTGCTTCTCCAGCTATTAACGACTTACAAGAAATGATACCGACCAAGCACACACCAAAGATGATTCGATTCGACTTAAACAGTGACAGTCCGAACGAAAACAAATCACCTACACCTATTTTCAAAACCTCCACCTCTTAGAACAACGTTCCAATATCATGTCCATTTCATCATTAATCATATCTTTCTAATTTGACAAACGCATCTCACATAAAAAAATACTACATATACGATCGTTCTATAATTATTTAACATTCGTCATGCTTGCTTATTATTCATCATACCTATCCGTTATGTTCGCTTATTCATTATTTCTGTATTTCTTCTAAATAAAACGGTTACCAATCTTACACTGTTCACGGCGACTCATTCAGTCCTTAAATGTATAATCTACAGCTAAAAAGTTGAATTCCATAGTTAAAAGTTCATACCTAACAGTTGAAAAGTTGAATAGTTGGATTCAACTTTCTACTATTACATATATGGATTTTGAATATACATCAAAAATTACAGCATGAAGTCGCGGAGAAAATGAGTATTTTACACTTTTACACGATTGAAAAAAGATAGATATTCAAAAATATATGAGTTTAAATCATCATACTGCTCATTTAATACCGTTAACAATATTTTCCTTCATTTCGCAAATGTCAAATTTCATGTATAAAAACATTCATAATTCTTCCTATTTCATCGTTTACACGGTAACTTTTTTATTATCGGTTACGGAAAAAATTTATTATTCTTTCTACTTAATTATTTACGCGGTAAACTTTTTATCATCGGTTACGGAATGATTTCATGAAAAAAATTAAAAATTTCAATTACAGACCGTTTATGCGATGATTATCAACAGTGCAAAAGCTGTTATAATTTGAAGATAAAACTCACAATATATTAACTTTCTAAGCATTTAAACGTTTGTGAAAGAAAGTACAGGATTAAACGATAAAAAAAACCGTTTTGTAAGCGTTTACATGCGTTTTTGCATATATCTAGCGAATTATATGAGGCTATCGTAAGAATAAATCTGATTAACTGATAGAGACAAAAATGAAATTATACACAATAATCTTAGTTTGAAATACATTAATCAGTATGCTGAACCAAACAACATATGGTATCGACTTGTTCATCATCATTCATGCAGAATGCGCTCTAGAAATGTGATCGCCAGTTACTCTATTCTGTATGATCGAAGCGATTCCATTTTCTACAACATTCTATTGCAGAATCACATGAGATGACTGACCGTTAAGATAAACTAATTCTTTTCTTTCTCTCTTTCATGATGTTGAATGAGTCTTCTGAAGGTAGTTCAATTTCAAAAAGCCATTACATATACAGAAAAAAAACTATTTATTTTCTCTTCTCTTCATGTGATGGTGACGATTTCAATTCTATAAATAATTAACGACACTACGGTAATATTTTCTTCTCTTTTAGACATCTTTTTTTCTTATTGCTTTTCTACTCACTTTGTGTATGTACACTAGTCACGGCTGCAGTTTTTTTCACACAAACCTGACTAAAAATCGACAACATTTTTTTATGTAGTGATTAAATATTAAACAAGAGAGTTGAAGAAAATGGAAGGAAAGAAAAATAGTAGTGACAGTAACTAGAATATTTCTAACAAAAAAGTTTAAAAGATCAAATAATAAAAGATGTTTTGGATATTGTTTGTTTTATTGATATTTTCTACTGGTGATTGTATTCTTATCGGTAAAATAGATAATAATATACTCATTGATGATATATCTAAATCATTATGGAATATAACACGAAGCCAGTGTATCTGTGAAATGATAAATTCAAATGGAATGATATCAACATTAAATTATTTTTCAACAAATCAAACTTGTCAGTTATTCTATACAAATTATACTACGATCATCATTGAATTTAGTCTCAATTCTTCTTTGATATTTACAAATCAATCAACAATATTCATAGCACAGAGTAAATATACTAATATAAATACTGCAAACATATCATAGTTTTGCTATCGAACTAGCTAAACATATCGAAAAACATTTAGTAAGATTTTTGTTTCCGATGAAAATTCCATTTTTTCTAGTTTAGCACGCTAGAAGTTACAGAAGTATGTTAGTATTATATAGATTCACACATTCAAATGCATCGTGTTAACCTCATCTTCGGATTGATCAATCTAAGCGAGTTTTAACTGATCGGAACCTTTATTTATTTGTTGTAAATGTTCGAGTTGATGCCTAAGTCAGTTACCTTTTACTTTCAATAGATACAGCAACCCTAATGTGTCAAAGAGAGATTCATTTGTTATTGTATGTTCAAAAATGTAAGCCGGTCGAATATGCCACGGTCATCAAAACGTAAAAACGCATTTATAGTTCTTAAAAAGTTTTGATGCTCAGCAAATGTGCCTGAGAATGTTCGCAACTAATTGTTCGATGACAAGTGTTTTATCATCATTTTACATACTCACAGCTATATAGGACTCCAAATGAACCATTGTTAAATTTGCACTTCGTGTAGGGTCACTGGTGCGAACTATTCTAGTACAGCTAAAGCTAGGAATAATTATTATAGAAGCCGTAAGGTTTTTAAATCCATTGGAACTTATGTAAAATTTATCACAATGCATCCATAATCAATTACACAATTAGTAGAACGAAGCTTGCGAAGTTGAGGGGGAAGCCTAACCCAACTATTCTGTCCTTTTTTTAATCTCGTTTTTCCAATACAGATCAGATGGGGTCAACAGCAGCATCATCATCATCGTCAACATCTATATCATCAACCACAACAACAACCACACCATCATCGACATCGACATCAACAACATCAGCAATAACAACAACCACAACAACAACATTAACAGCAACACTATCATCGACATCAACAACAACAACAACGACATCATCATCGACATCAACATCAACATCAACAACCATAACATCAACAACAACATTAACAACAACACAATCATCTACATCAACAACAACAACATCATCGACATCAACATCAACAACAACAACATCATCGACATCAACATCAACATCTATATCAACAACAACAACAACAGGTGAGTTATTAAAAACTTCTTACGTTATTGAAAAAAGGTTTATGTTGTTGGTATAATGTACAAACTACGGTAATATAAGATATATAATTTGGTAAAACTATTTTCAATTTATGCTCGTTATATCATGTATAACGTTCCTCGACAAGTTAATCATAAAAATATAATCAGAATATCTTAGTTATGATGTCTAAAAAATTTGTTTATTTCAACTACAAATTCTTGAGAGAGATGTCGTATAGTTAGGATTAGATCATGTATAGATTAGATTAGAGTGCCCATGGATCAACCTTAATTAAACACAGTAGAATGGAGTAAACTGTGTCGTAGATCTTAACTGTAACTCATCTGTTAAAATGAAAAAAGTGATTTTGTTGTGTAACCCATTAACAATGATCTTAGGATTAATCCATAAAATTAACTATATTCATGCGAACATAATTATGAAAAAATGTTCTCTGATAAAGATGCCGTTATAATATGGTAGACTCGACCTATCAGCATCTCTATAATTACTATTTAGTGAGATAATTCAAAAGACTCTTTTTTCCAACTCTAAATTTCCAAAAGTGTAATACCTGAAACTTAAATCGAAGTATTCAATTATTGAACACTTGAAATTTCAACTATTCAACTACTTAAAATGGGGACCTAAGTAATAGTTCAATAGTTAAATTCAAGTTTCAAGTGTTACATATGTGGATGGTTGCACTATCTATCAAAAGGTATTTTCACTTTTCATACCGAAATGATATTGTATTGTCTAGCTTCATACAAAAATAAAGTCAAAAGAATTAGAATAAACGACACATTAGAACACACAGGTTGTCTTTTAAGCATAGCATACGTGTGTTAAGAAACGAACATGTCTAATTCAATTTTAACTTACCATAGAAGTTAAAATTATACATTTGTTATTGGTTGTTTCGGTTAAGCTCAACTTCTTTACCTGAATAGCTGCAGATCTTATTCGACACATGCATTAACACATATCATATTTTCTAAAGAAAATAAATGCAATAGACATTACTATGTCATATCTCAGAACTATTTCTACCCACTTTCCAATATCACATACCTAATTGATCTATCAGTGTTGGATAGTAACACAGTTGCTTTTCCCTTTCTTTTTATAGTATGTTCTCAACCGACCTGGTCACAAACTGCAACTACTATATTTGGCAGCCAAGCAGGTACATCTGGCTCTGACCTTATAAGTCTTTCCACTCCAGTTGGAATGTATTATGACGGACCTAACAATATGTTAACCGTTGTGGATGATGGCAATCAACGTGTTCTACGATTTTCTATCAATAATTCATCTTCAGTTGCAACCGTAATTGCTGGAAGTAATGGTCTAGGTTGCAACATGAATCAGTTCTATTGGCCTAATGGAATAGGTGTTGATAGCTCTGGTCGATTGTATGTAGCAGATTATTATTGCAATCAGGTCGTTAGATTTCCATCAAATTCAAATTCAACGACATCCGGAACACTTCTCGGTTCTGTAACGGTAGCAGCATTCATATCCATAAATCAGTTGACTAATGATATCTATGTAGTTAGCTATAGTGATAATGCGATTTACGAATTTGTTGGAGGTAATGGATCAGCGGTGGTTGCTGCAGGTATATAATTTTCTTTCACAGAGATCTTTCGTTTAATATTGATTTTATTCTCTTATATAGGTGGTAATGGTAATGGAAATGCTTTAAATCAGCTATCAGGTCCAAATGGTGTTTACTATGATTATTTATATACAAGTTCTTTATATGTTACCGATAATGGAAATTATCGTGTCATGAAATACCCATCAGGTTCAACGAGTGCAACCTATGGAACAGTTGTTGCTGGAGGTAACTCAGTTGGAAGTGCAGCGAATCAGTTGAATAATCCAAGATCTGTATTGATAGATAGTAGTGGAGCTCTCTATATAGCTGATGGAAGTAAGAGCAATTTTGAGAAAAGAAAATATCCCATAGATTAAACAATCTTGTTTTACTTCTCTTCATATCCAGGTAACAATCGTATTCAACGTTGGCTGCAAAATGCAAGTAGTGGCACTACAGTCGTTGGTGGGACGCAAGGAACAGCAACGAATCAACTTAATTGGCCTGAAACAGTTCTCTTTGATAAATATGATAACCTATTGGTTGTTGATAGAGGAAATAATCGAATACAACTTTTTAATTTAACAACTTGCTAGTATATAAAGACTTACTAGTGATTATCATCGTTAACAGACAGTAAAACTTTAAAAAAAGCCCGTTAATATGTTGACTTTTCTTTGATTTTTCATAATTGTTCAAGTATTGATTCGGCTTTATTTTAGAACATTTCTTTCATATTTTATATGTTAGTAAAAAAGAATGTACGCTTCATAATACAATATATTGTGTGCGATAATCCAAAATCGGAATAATTTCGTATTTGAAGAAAAGTCAGAGTTGATATCAGATCTTATCTTAATGATGCAATATCACTCTTCTACTATAGTACGTAATTCATTTTCTCACCATGTAGATATATAATGTCTTCCTTTTTTGGTGTTATCAGAAAGGACAAAAAAAACATATCGAATGAAAAAATGTTGAAATTCAAACAAATATTTCATGACGGTTTTAGCACATTTAATTCTATTTTTTAATTCACAATTTTCTTCATTTTGATCATTAAATACCGAGGTAATCTAGAAATATTTTTAATTTTATATTAATTTTAATTGGAAACGATTTTCATTTTGTTCTTGCTTTTCATTGAAATATTTTCAAATATTTTTATAAGTAATAAAATATTTATTATCAGATTAAAATTACTTGAATTTGATAGACACTTAACCAAATAAATGAGTTGAATGATGAGATATTTTTAAATAGATTTATCAAGAACACACTCAACTACGAGAAAATACTTTTTGTTGTCAAAAACAAAATAAAAAATATTTATGCGAATTGAGTTTTATTTTTGAAATCAGACTCATAAAATATATTCATACATTTAATGAACAATAAAAGCAAAATAAGAGAATTACAGATAAAATTATTATAGTGGAAAATTATTGAATTTCATTCTAAATATTTTAGTCTATACTTAATATAATATTTTGGATAGACATAAACGATCAACAGTTGTGCAAATTAATTATCTTCGATATTCATCATTATCAATATTCGAATGACATAAGAAATAAATCGAAGATAATAATTTATTTTCTACAAACGATATTTTTCATCATGATACAAGAAAAATGAAGTATAAGTTTCATATAAATAGATGTTTATTATATATTAATATTAGTTATGAAAAAAGTTAAAGTACAGATATTCAATGTAAATAATAATTTACTTAAGAGAATCAATCGATATTGTTTTATTTATAGTTTTAATTAGAAAATGAATATATGTTGAATATAGCTAATTGATTAAAATGAAAGAATGTTAACCCGTAGACATATATGAATGAATAAAGGAAAATAAATAATAAAGCTTTATTTTTACTTTCAACAGAACGAATTGAATATTCAATAAATAAAAAATTATTTTATAATTTATTTACTAAATTTTATTGAATTACTAACATCTCAAATTGATTAACAATGAATTCTTATTAATTTTACATATCGAATTATTTAAACAGAACGTATCACATCATTTATTCTCTTAAGATCATCATATTCAGTTTTAATATTTGTTTTTTTTTCTCTTGTTATTATCCATATCGACTTATAAGTATTCGTTTTTTAAATATTAAAAATCATAAGAAATGTCATTTTAATAGAATCTATCATTATACAAATATTGCTTTTTCATAAACCAGCTGTTCATAGAAAAAAATATAAAATAAAATAAAATAAAATAAAAAGAAGTTATTTTTAATATACTAATAAAGAATAAGAAATAATTTAATATTATGTGTAAGTTTATATAAAATTAATAAATTCACTTGGTATCTGGAAAAAATTTATCAACTCGCTATAGCTGTTGGAAATGATATAATGGATATTTAACAATATCGACTGATTTATACATCAACATAAGGCAATGATTCTATGGTGATGTTTGTTTCAATAATCTACGAAGAAACAATACTGATTTTTGTCTCTTTGAGATCCTCAATTGATTTTCAAATTTCATCAGCTAGTAATAACAGTTTAAAAATATCTTAGCTTATTGCAAGACGATTTTTCAAAAAAATATAATTAAAATTTTTTTCAGTGCGCAATCGACAAAAAATCAACGTTATACATCGTCGCTTCTGTTTATCTCCTTGCTTGTTTTTTTTTATTGAGAGAATAGACAAAAATCTTCTAACGATACGCTTACGTATATAATTATGTTCGTTTATTTCGTTAATGTAAGAGGACTGATATAAATCACTCATATTTATTTTTTCTTTCTGCATTCATTATAAGCGCTGTTCTGTACATATAATCGACACAAGAAGTAGATATACACACAGTCGCTTCTGCTTGGTTGCTTACTTGTTTTTTTATTGAGAGAAAAAACGAAAATCGTCCAAGAAGACGCTTACGCATATAATTAAATTCGTTTATTTCGTTAATGTAAATTAAGAGAACTGATAAATTACTCATATTTATTTTTTTACCCCTCTACAATCATCATAAGCTCTGTACTTTACATATAATTAATCGTTTATGCATCACTGAATCGTACAAACAAAAACAAAAATATATAAAAGTATCTGCTCTTTACATATTCGTTTAGTTATTTACTTTCGTTAATATTCAAAACACGTATATTAAACTGTTTCTTTTTGGACTCCAATCTTGCTTAAATATTAATTTATGGTAATTATTACTGAACAATTTCTATTTAGCATATACGATTCGACCGCTATCTTTTATCTTGAAACTTGCTCCTTTGTTCAGATGTAATGTAAATGTATGACTAGCTATTGAAATTCGTTCAAACCATCACATTTATCGAATGACAATACATAATACATTTTAACTCGATTATAAGCGAACAATCATTCTGAGATCTCGTACTTCATCCTCATACTATCATTGAAAAGCTATGGCTCATATTAACTTAAGACGTTCTACAAGGTAAGTTTTGTATGTTTCTGATGAGCTTTGTCACCTTCTATTAATTGTATAGGCCTTCTAAACTTGGCTTTTCCGTTTTGGTACTGGCTGCTATCATGTGGACAACTATTACTTCGCTCATTCCACTGTATGTATCCCAGAGCGACTTTAACATCGGCAACACCAAGGACATCGCTGCCGTCGTAACATTACAGAACGCTAGTAAGTGTTTATTTATTATTTTTATCATGCACATACATTGTCTTTATTAGAAAAATCACTTACTTCGTTAAGTGTCTCTTATATTTTACCAGCTGGATTAACAAGAAAGCGCGCTACGCAATCCGTCACCAACCGACAAACAACCGCCTCTTGTGTAATTTTTATCTTTCGTGTTAATTTATAATATTTAATATATTTTAGTTGACACAAGCACTCGGTGCTGCCAAAGGTTCTATCAATGTCACCGGTATAGGCAGTGCAGCAGCAACTACTACCAAAGGTCGACGCCGCCGTCGCGAGTAATTTTCTTTTCAATTAATTTATGTTAACCATATTTACGCATGATTTTGTATATAGCATTCAATGCGATAAAACGGATCGTCCAGGAGTTGCAATCATCTTCGACGTTGCACTGGGGTATCCAGAAGATTTACCATGCCAAACACTGGCCTGTCAAGTCGATCTATTTACTGGTATCCATGGACAATTCAATACTGTGAGCGATGTCAGTATCACGGCGGATGATGGAACCCCCTTACCTGTCCAGCTATGTCACGTGGAATCCCATACAGATGGGACGAATAACAATCCTCAGAGTTCCAGTGGTATTGCTATCCGTGAGTTAGCTATTTTCTCTTGTTAGACAAAAATTGATTTTTCAAAAATTTAAACATGGTATTCATGCGAGACGTAAAAATCTACATTGACGGATATGCTTATTCTAAAAAAAAAGAGATCAAAAGTTACCAGCCGATTACTGGGAGCAATGTCAGACTCAAAAAAATCATTCGGATGAATTTTCTAAAATTGAACTCTGCAAAATGTTCCTCAAGAGTCGACTTCTTATATGTGGAATTTATAAAGCTGAGAAGAATGACTCTAATGTATTTTATTGTTTATTTTGGAATAAATGTAACTTATATATATAAGTCTATTCTTTTTCAGAGCCTTGTACAGTTGTTTGTCAAAATGGTGGTGCATGCACAGGTCCCACAACTTGTGGATGCACTACAGAATGGACTGGTGACACATGTGAAACTCGTAACTTAAATTCAAAGCTTAGTTGATTCTAATAATCTCTATGTTTTTCTTTTAGCTGTATGTACAAGTGGCTGCCAAAATGGTGGTACATGTACAGCTCCTGATACATGTGCATGTGCTGCAGGATGGAGTGATGCAACTTGTGAAACTGGTAACGTAAATTCAAAGTTTACTTGATTCTAATAATCTCTGTGTTTTTCTTTCAGCTGTATGCACAAATCACTGCCAAAATGGTGGCCAATGTACAGCTCCTGATACTTGCACATGCGCTGCAGGATGGAGTGGAACAACGTGTACACTTGGTCAGTAATATTTAAATTTGAGATGCTTTCTATGATTTCTATTCTTGAGGATTAGGATGTAAGAGTGTAATGAGAATGTGTGATAGTATTGGTTTATGCCTAAAGTTGAGAGATGAGATGATAGCGAGGGTTGGAGTGAATCTTTTCATAATACTGTTCCCCTAATTATCGTGACATGCTCAGTTAAAGAAGAGAGTTTTTGCATAATATCATATGTTTATACAATGATATGACTTGCCAATGAACAAGACTGGAAAAGATTTTAGCAGCGAATTTATGCTGTGTCAACTGATTTGTTTCAGTTATTGTAGTAGGCACATAATTATAAGTAAATATGCTATAAAAGAAGAGAAACAAAGAAATACATACAAATGTATTTAAAGTCAGATATATTGTTAACCGATTGAGAACTGGTAGATTATGAAGAAAATGTCATTTAATCTTCCTCTTTCATATAGAACTAACAAAGTCGTCGACAACAACAACAACAACAACAACAACCAGAACAACGACTACCAAGACTATCACCAAAACCACCACGAAGACAACAACGAAAACAACCACAAAGATGACAACGAAAACAACTACGGAGACAACAACAAAGACAACCACAAAAACAACGATGAGGATAACTACAGAAACAACCACAACAGCAGCAATAACCACAACAACAGAGACAACAACTACCTCTACATCATCAACAACAACTACCTCTACATCATCAACAACAACTACCTCTACATCATCAACAACAACTACTAGAATTACATCGATAGCTACAACAACTACTACAACTACATCAATAACTGCATCAACGACAACAACTTCAACAACAACTACAACTACAA